CACCCCTGCTTTAAATGATGAATTTTTAAAAAATCTCATGTAGAAATATAGACTGACAAATAATATTTTTCCATCCATTTAGCTACAGAATGTCCCCAGGAGACCTGATCCTATATACCTGTGCAAGAAAATTTGCCATGTAGTTCCACTTAAAATTTATTTTACTTGTGAAAACTTCTGCTGGTCTGAGAGAGAGTCCCTATACTTAATTGGTTCATACCTCAATGGTGATGTCTCTCCAAAATAGGTGTTCTAATCTATGTATCCAATCTTAAAGAATTCAGTTTCTTTGCAAAAGTGTCTGAAAGCAAATTCTTTATCTCTTTTACTTCATTGACTTAAATATGCCCAAATGGATTTTTTTTCTTCAACATGCGTATGTAAAAGAGAATTTTTTTTATTTTCTGATACAAAAGACCTTGTACCACAGGACACGTTGAATCACATACAAGATTTTAACACACAATGAATATTTCCCCCTAACCACCACTGCTTACTGAAGCTATACAAGCACTGAGAACAGTAATTCCTAACAGTAATATTGAAAATGAACTCTAAACAAAACTGACAGTAACAGGCATCAGTATAACGATATATAAAGTTTAGCACATTTTACATCATTCATGATGTTAGCAATATATACTATCAGCCAAATGGTCAATGCTGTAAAATAATACTTCCATAAGGTATTCATGAATGAATTTCATTCTTGTCCATTCTAACTCAGAAGCATTAGTCAGGCCTGGGCCATTAGGAAGAGCATATTTCAATGTGTATAAATTAGATTCAGTACATTCGATGAAGAGATTTCATCATGTGTGCTACAGAAGGGATGTTTCCCATGAATATGCATGCCCAGTTTGCCATACAAATTATTTTATAATAATTAATTATAAATGTGACTAGATTTTAACAAGCAAGAGACTTTAAAGGGTATCAAGACAGTGATTGCAGTTCTGCCATATGCTCCTTCTTTCACCAATCCCGAAGAAAAAGTAAACTTCACCAAAATGTAAAATGATCTAGATTCTTTCCATGAACACACAAAAAGTCAGAAATGTCATTTGACCACGAATAAACCAGATTTACACTATAAGGGTATGTCTACACTACCCCCCTAGTTCGAACTAGGGGGGGTAATGTAGTGCTTTCATTTGCATAAAGCCGGCCGGCGCCATTTTTAAATGCCGGCTAGTTCGGACTCCGTGCCGCGCGGCTACACGCAACACGGACTAGCTAGTTCGGATTAGGTTTCCTAATCCGAACTAGCTGTACACCTCGTTCCACGCGTGTAGCCGCGTGGCATGGAGTCCGAACTAGCCGGCATTTAAAAATGGCGCTGGCCGGCTTCATGCAAATGAAGCCCGGGAAATTCAAATCCCGGGCTTCATTTGCAACTCCATATGACTACATTACCCCCCCCTAGTTCGAAGTAGGGGGGTAGTGTAGACATACCCTAACAATGGTAGTTAAATAACTAAAATGCCATTTCTCTAATTTTTCCAACCATGTTGTATTTCTTTTTTTCATTCTTGGTCTATAGTGAACTAGCCTACAGGGAATGTGCTATATAGTAAACCACTATTGAGAATTAATACAAAAAATAAGTATTTTGTGCTACTGTTGATGAATTGATCAAGCAAGAGAATTAATAAAGAACATAAATACTGTAGAACACTGAACAATAATTCTGGCCATAAAATTACTATAGTGCTTTCTAAAATAGGGTAATTAAAAAACTCTAACCTATCATGTTAATTGTTCTTGAGATTTGCTTTAAAACAGATCAGTGCTAAGCCTTTTCCATTATGGAGATTTGGTTAAGGCAATCTCATTGTAGGTTTATATATGATTTATGAATTTAAATACAAAGGTAAAAAAGGAAGCTTCTATAGAGACTTGTAAGTACAGTTTAATAAATGTAATACATTTAAATCAAGCTGATGCATCATTTTAAAAAGGAATTGCATGTTTTAAGAAAGCTGTGCACAAGAGTAGGCAAACACAATATACAATATATCAATATAAGGCCATTAATTATAAGTTAAGTGGGCATTATTATATACCACAAAGCTATTTACATTATTAGTTCCTGTAAATGAGTCCCTGAGTTAACCATAAGAGCTGTCTACAACTGACTTACTTTGAGGAGTTTTAGATTCTTACTGGGTAAAACAACATGAATTAATTACTGGGGGGAGGAGGGAATTAAAGGTGGGTCAACTCTTTTCTTACAAATATTCCTGTTTAATTTATTTGTAATGCTTACTTACTGGTACCATACTATTCCTCATCCTGTAAGGATAACAAATTAATTCATTGACGTAGTACAGCTTTATTCTGGACAGAGAAATGTTTTCACTTGCCAAATAAAATATAATTTTTATCCTTCGTTTCTTGATGAACTGCTTAATAAGTTTTTTCAAATACTTTTCTCTTCCCTTTGCAAGTTAACCAAACTCTCATTTAATAATTTTAAAACCAGTATACCATATCAATGGCATTTTGGTAATAAATCTAAGATTACAATACAATGCCTGTATTTAATGCACAGCACATATTTGAGTTTAGATCACTTTTAGAAATAGTGAGACAAATTCTACTTAGTCATTCTTCTGCAACTCCATTGACTTTATTTGCTGTAACTAAAAGCAGAATTTGACCTGCTTTATATGCCACAAATATTTTTTTAAATATTTTTGAAGCACAGAACAATTGAAATACAATTTCCACTTGAAAACAAAGACAGCCAGGTTTTCAAAGGTTTTACACACACAGTTTTATGTGGAAAACTTACACACTCATACCCCAGCTTGCACATGCAATTACTGTGACACAAACTTGTTATGATCACTTCCCTTGCCTGAGTTTTATGAGACTGGATGTAGTCAGCAAGAGTAAGTCTAAGGTCCAACACTGGGCTCTGAAAGTATAAAGCATGCTACACAGGTATCTGTCGAACACAAGTAGTTTATTTCCTGACAGCTAACAGCTGTGCCCCGTAACTGAAAGAACAATATGACAAAGAAGTGGCATATCTTATGTTCCTTCCTGCAAGCCTGAAACCGCGGGTAGGCTGCGGACGAAGTGGCAGGTTGTCTCAGCTTCTGAGGCGCTGGTACCCAAAGCCCATCGGTGAGGTCCAATTTGCTAGGCTCTGAGGTAGCCTTAAATACAGTCTTCCTGCCTTGTTTTGCAGTTTGGAAATTACCAGGGGTTACTCATTACGTGCTGCTGTAGGGCTTAGCTGTTAGTTATCGATCTGGTTCTGATCTAGTTCTACTTGTTCTTTGGCCTTGTTTATGTGACCAGTACGTTGGAGTAAACAGAATTGTTTGTGTTCTTGCCCTTTACCCTTATCTTATACTTGTTCTTGCTATACTGGCAACAATGCTTATCTTCAGGGCTCGACAATCTGTGTAATCTATTCACCCGTGACGAGTAGATTACATCCCGGAAGAGCCAGGTTCGGGAAATCTGCGCATGTGCAGAATGCCGTACAGCGTGGCTGGTGAGCAGGGCTTGCCACGGCTCGGCGAGCCCTGCTTATCTTAAATGGCGTATGTTCCCAAAGACTTGCTTCTGGCTCATCAGATATAGGGAAAAGGGAAAGCGGGGAAAGAATGCAGGCCTTACCACCCCTAAGCTAGCACGTACAAAGTTCTTCCACAATTGACCACTACAGTGGAACCAGTTATAAATTAGAAGGACAAAACTGCTAACACATGATGCACCAGATGAGAGCATGGGGGTTTTATCTCAGACTGGTACAGAATAAATCACTGTTCCCAAATTCCTATGTGAGGCCTAAATTATTTCACATTCAAATCATTCACACAGAGTAAAAATGAGAATGTGTCTGCAGAATGCTAAACTTTCAAAAAAGGAGGCCAGTTTTGAATATGGATATATGCCAGCTATGATTAAGTAACTTGTAAAATCACCTAGAGCTTCATTATGGAACTTTGAGAGTCACTGGGAGTTTTGCCATTGACATTTCCTGTGCAGGACTGGGTGGGCATTTAATTATTTCACATTAAATAGCTGACTTCAGAAAATATTTACTAATGCACAGATCGGGTTTGTGCCCTTTGTAGGGAATCTTTTACATGTTTGTATTTACTGCATGGACATGCAACTGTCCTAATATTTTGATGCCATACATACTCAGCATAGTTTAATTCAGGAAAAGGAATACTGTTGCATTCCATTGGGGCTTCTCAAATTTCTTTGCTCCATGATCCCTTTCTGACAACAAAATTACTACAGGTTGAATCTCTATAGTCTGGCATCCTTGGGACCTGACTAGTGCTAAAACAAAGAATCTGCCAAACCACAGGAAGTCAATATTGTAACAAAGGGTCTCTCTTTATTTTTATTTTGCTTAGGCAAATAAATGGAACAATGGTACCGATCTGCTCTTTTTCAATTTCTGCAACAATTTTTCTATTTTTTGCTCTGTTGATACTGTATTGATACATGCTTATTCTTAGCAGCATTACTGACAACTCCAGATTTAGGGGTAGATTAGAGCTAACACTGGGAGCCAGGGCTGGTGGCTGTAAATAAACTTTGCCATATTGCAGGAAACTTTGCCCTGCCTGTAATAAGTGGACATCTGGCTATCTAAAATCATGCCAGACCACGGATGTTGCCTTACCAGAGAGTGACAAATTAGGGAGGTTCAACCTGTACATGAGCTTGAGGTAAGAGGCCGAGGCCGAAGCCCAAGCTCCACTGCCCCACAGGGAGAGGGGGCCAGAGCCTGACCCACACACACACACGCACACCCTTGATGGGGATGTAGCTTGGAATTTGGCTTCAGCCGTGGATCCCAGCAAGTCTAATATTGACCCTCGCAACTCCATTAAGATGCGGTTGTGACTATTTGAGAACCGCTGCATTAGATGAATTGACTTGTCAGACATAATTGTCAGTTATTTCTTGCTATTATATTTCTACTGCCTGCCAAAGACATATCTCTTCTTTGCCCTTTCCAGGAGTTTGTTATGATTGTTGTCTTCGGTTTGGAATATATCTTTCGTATCTGGTCAGCCGGCTGCTGTTGTCGCTACCGAGGATGGCAAGGAAGATTGCGCTTTGCGAGGAAACCATTCTGTGTAATAGGTGAGTTTCCAAATTAATTTCAGTGTGAATGCCAACAGTTATAAGGCAGCCATCACAGGCAGGCTGATTTCTTGCATACATCATAGTAGACTGAGTTTTACTTGATTTTACTGTAATGTTTTCAAAATACCTGATGTAGTAGTTGATGTAATAGCGAACCTGTGTTACAGCAGGATCTCAGCTTCATTACCCTTGTCCTCTGACCTCCCCATCATCTCCCGTTGCTATTCAAGCTCACATGTTACATCTCATTTTAAGTTAAATTATAAACTCTTAGGGGCAGGAGGCACATCTGCCTGTGTGTTTGCACAGCACTTGGCACCAGAGGTCCTCATCCTAATAGCAATAACACCCTAAGGCCCCAGTGCAAATAATAAATAATCTCCCCAAAGAAATCCTTCAGTTGCAATGGGCTAAAAGGAGGGAAATATGAGTAGATGGAGTTCCCAAACAAATCATTTTTCTTAAAGCTATAGGACTTAGAATGCGAGACTAGTCAACACTATCCATGCTCTAGGTTCCTTAAGAGTACACAACCAAGGTAAGCGTGGGCATATCCAGTAAAGGTTGATTGGACTGTATAGAGAAGGCCACAAGGTTTCTATTATTTGCATTATTCAGAGGTCTGTAATTAAGAAAAGAATCATTATTAAGCACTATACACTAATTCCTGTCATTAACAGTTGTAGGGCTGTTTTTCCAATAATTACAGTAGATCTTTGAATCCCGTATTCAGACCAGGGTTAATCAGCACTAATGTGACCTTAGGGAGCCACATGTTCCCTGGTGTTTTTAAAGAGGAAAGCAGGAAGTTACCTCAAGACCAGATGGCTGAAGAGGAGAAAGAAGAGAGTTATGTGTAGAATCTCCATTCTCTTCCTTCATTAGGCAAGCCATCTCTCAGATATTCTCTCTCTCTGCATTCAGCCATATCACTCCCCAGATTAATCAAATCCATGAGTATTTGCAAGTTATTGGTGCACTCAACTCTTAGTAATCAATGTTCTGTTGAACATAATTTAAGGTAAAAGAATCAGACAGTTCAGCACTGGAGGCTTATAGAGGATAAAATAAGTCAGACATTTAAGTAGCAAAAAATGTTTAAAATAGCAGACTACTTTCCTAGAATTGTTTGTTTGCAGATAGTAACAATTTCTTCAATCCAGCTTCAGTTTATCTTCTGTTTTTGTTTCTCCTAGGGTGTGTCTAGACTACATGCCTCCTTCGACGGAGGCATGTAGATTAGCCAGATCGGCAGAGGGAAATGTAGCCGCGATTAAAATAATCGCGGCTT